AACCAATACGAACAACCCGGCATATATAGATTAAAATGCATAGATTGCCCTTTAACCTACATAGGCCAAACAGGACGTACCTTTAAACAAAGACACAAAGAACACATAACAGCTATCAAACATAATAAGGATTACTCAGCTTATGCAAAACATATATTAAACACAGGGCATACATATGGGGGAATCGAACAAACATTGGATATTATAAAAATCGTGCAAAATAGACGACATAGAGAAACTATAGAAAAATACTATATACAACGTACACACAAACAAAATATTGCGCTAAACGACAACAACCCATATTTAAATAATCCTATATTTAACACAATCCAGGTTATTGACCCAACCCCCTAACACCATTTCTACCTATATATACGACCCACATCAGTACACCAAACCAGTCTATAAACTGACATTCACCTGATCAGACCTGACCAGCCGAGGACACACGACACATCAAACTCCTGGTATGTTATTGTGTTTCCATGTTTCTATGTTTATAGTAAAAATTTATATAACATATCCAAACTCATTTACATATAAATAATATTAATAACGTTAATTATATTGATAATTTCACAGAAATAAGGAACAAATAACATAATACGCCACAGAATATGCAAAAGAATCAGAAGATAATAGGAACATCCACAACTATAACCTACAATCTACAAATACTGAAAAGCGTGCATTAAAAAAATATGGAATAGTTTTAAAAATAAAACCTGAAGATGATGCTGAGACATCGAAACATGTTGTAATATATAGCGCAAATTGTAACATCGAGGAAACGATGAATAGCGCGAAATATTTATATCAATTTTAATTTTTAACATCAATATTTAAAATAGTTTGTTTATAGACTTGAAGAATAAATATATGTATGACAATACATGTTATACAAATAAAAGTCATGCTATTATATAACATATATTGTATTATTATGACTTATTCTACATTCTATTGTCATCTGACTAACTTATGGATCCATGGAATGTAATAAAGATGTATGTATAAAAAGAACAGCGAGGTCTACTGCCGCAATAGTGGCGCGCCAACGACTGGCGCGGTGTATGCAGGAAACGTGGCAAAAAGTTGTCAGTTGAACCACGGTTCCGGAGAATTTGACGTAAATACGTCTATATGGAAAGGAGTTTATATATTGGCTTTATTCTAAATATTTCCTTTATACATGCTTTACAATTGAGTAAAGTTTGATTAAGACATTGCTTATTTAACTTGAATTACTTACGCATAAGATGGGTCTGTGGTAGCTGAAATTAATGAAATGTAATGTAAGGTAAGGTAAGGTAAGGTAATGTAATGTAATGTATTGTATTGTAATGTAATGTAAGGTAAGGTAAGGTAAGGTAAGGTAAGGTAAGGTAAGGTAATGTAAGGTAAGGAAGTAAGAAAGAAAAGAAAGTCAGTACAAGTAACAACTGAAAATAGTATGGTCCAAATTTTACAAGAAATAGCACAGGTAAAAAACATGCTTAACGCTATTATTGAAGGAAACGAGAAATTGTCGTCGAAACTTGAGGAAAAAGGGGTCGAATTTTCAGAAGCTATTAAGCCTTTGAGAGAAGAAACGAAACAGGAGATTAAGGAAATTAGAAAAGATTGGCAGAAGTTATCAGAGGAAGTGAATGATAGATTGGGTGGACATGTAGAAGTTCAGGAGGAGTTGGTTCAGGAGTCAGAAGCCAGCACCAAAGCATTGGAAAGTAATATTGAAGGGAACAAAACTGAGGTCAGTCGTGACTTTAGTCTTATGCGACAAGATACAGATAAATTTCAACGAGAAGTGACTAAGTAAAATCAAGTATGGAAGAATAAGGCGGGGAGAAAATGTCCCAATTGGATTCTAGTATCAGAGCAAAAGTAACAAAACAACAACAAAACAAAAGTAAATTCGACAATGACCCAGAGCGGATCGCCGCTATTCAGAGTTACCCTGCTCCCAGAAACCAAAAACAGTTACGCCACTTCCTCGGCACATGCAATTTTCATAACCGCTTCATTTTTAATTATGTAAGTTTCGTTGCACCGCTGTTGACGAAACGAAGCCGATGGAAATGGACCGAACAAATGCAGAGAGCGTTCGAAGATCTGCGCGCACAGTTCGCGTGGAGTATCCTCCTCATTCATCCAGATGAAGAATCATCCTTTATAATTTACACCGATGCTAGTAAGATCGCCATAGGAGCTTTACTTCTGCAGACTACCGACAACGGCGAGACTCGCATTGTTTCTACTGCGTCACGAGTCTTGTCCCCGGCAGAACTTTTGGCCCGTCACAACATGAACTCTGACAAGATAGATGTTTGTCAGTCAGTCATCCACAAAAAAAACAACTTTGTTGCAGTTGTTTAAAAGCCTAGAAACCAAAGCACAGAACCACAGCTGAACCGTGAGCATGCTGGTCTCCACGCTGATCGTGTTCCTGGCCAGTGCGATCTTACTGTGGACTTTCTTCAGAAAAAAGAATTATAGGTTGATGAAGTTAGCAGAGAAGGTGCCAGGACCAAAACCACTGCCATTTATAGGAAATGTGCTTGAGTTAGGCACAGGTCCTAAAGGTACGTGTAAATTATTGTATTCAATAGACTTGTAACTACAGACGAATTCCGGTATAAAATTTAATTCATGACTTTTTGTTCTGATTTCGATTTTCATACAATGCTATAGGCTTAATTCTTCGATTTCCGGGGAAAAATTGATAGTGGAACCACAGTTCCGGAGAATTTGACGTAAATACGTCTATACGGAAAGGAAGTTTATATATTGGCTTTATTCTAAATATTTCCTTTATACATGCTTTACAATTGAGTAAATTTTTAATAAGACATTGCTTATTTAACCTGAATTAGTTACGCTTAAGATTGGTCTGTGGTAGGTGAAATATGTTATAAAATTTGTACATTTTAGAGTATCAAACACCATATCTATACAAGATTTTGATCTAGTAGTACTGCATTGAGGATTTGACATCAACATTAAGCCAAACGTTTCCTCCATAAATGTGACAAAGCTTTGATTTTCCTCCTT